TCCTCTTCTATTTTCCTGTAGGGCAGGATAGATTTCTATACCCCATTGCCTTCATTTTTGAAGTGCTGGTGGGAGACTGGAGGTCTGGATGGTGGAGCACTAAACTCCTATCAAAACCTTCCTTTTTTTTAGAGGTCTAACTCCATTTTTCATCTGCTGTTCAGTTTCCCTCTCTTCCATGGAATAATATGTCCTCTCCCCCACTCCATCCCAGCATAAACTGATCATCTGAAATCTTATCAGCACAAAGAAAGACTCATGTTTTGATATTCTATATTTTCTCAACTCACCCTCAGTCGCCTCTCCTTTCTGATTGGAGGGGTAGAAGGCAGAGAATTAAACTCCTCCCAAAACCTTCCTTTATAGAGGACTCACAACCTCCCTGGTATCTCCTGTTTTCTATCAGCTGCCTGGCTTTCAACTCTATGGAACGGGGTACTCCTTTGTGCCCTACTCCTACCCCCTAGTTTACCAGTTTCTTTTAGTGTATTGTTATTGTTGTTTAGTTGCTTTCAGTCATGTCCAATTCTTCATGACCTCATTTGAGGTTTTCTTGGCAAAGATATTAGACTGGTTTGCCATTTCCTTCTCCAGTTCATTTTATAGATAAGGAAATTGAGGAAAATAGGGTTAAGCAACTTGCTCAGGCTCAAACAGCTAGTTAAGTGTCTGAGGCCAGATTTGAACTCAGGAAGATGAGTCTCCCTGACTCCAGGTTTGGCACTATCCACTGCATCACCTACCTGCCCCTTGATTTGTTGGCTTTCCCCATTAGATTATAAGTTTCTATAGGGCTAGGATTTTTCTTATTTGTATCCCGGGCTCTTAGCACAGTGCCTGGCACATAGAAGGAACTTTATTGAATTGAATTGAATTGAGCTACAGAAGTGGAGAAGTCATCTCTCAAAATGCCCTTTGTTTTCTAGCCACTGTAATCCTAGATTGAGATTGCTAAAAGTAATTTCCCTGCTGGTAGGCTTTCCCTGGTTAAGCTAAGAGTTTATCTCACTTCCAATCCAAGAGTTCATCTGTTCTTCAATTTTTATAGTTTATTTTTTTTCCAATTACATGTAAAAACAATTTTAACATTCATTTTAAAAAAATGTTGAATTCCAAATTCTCTCCCCTCCTCCCTCTATTCCCCCCTCCTTGAGAAGGCATGCAGTTTGATATAAACGAGAGCTCATCTATTCTTGTGTATTTTTTCCCCACACTAGTCTGTATACTTTTTCTAATTTCTGTTTACTTGGGTACTGTTTGCTCATTATCTGGTATTTTTTTTGTATACTAAGTGTTTGGTGGAAGGGAGCTAAGTTGACAAAAGTAAGCTAGCTGTTAGCTCCCTCCCATTCAAGTGAAGTCCTATTAATCTTGAACCCCCAAAGAATCATACCTATAAGGTATGAGCAGTAGATATAATTCTAGCCCAGCAATCCTCTTGGATATAGAAAAGTGAAAGATTGTCCAACCACAGCTATCCTAGATCCATGCTGCCCCTCCCTCCTTCAGCTACTGCTAGTAGTACAACCACAGTGCACCTCCTACTGCCCATAAGAGTTGAAATCACAATCCCAGATCAGATATATCTATCTATCCATGCCCCATATGCACAAGCTGTTTTATATCATACAGTCTATGCATTGCTCCATTCATATACATTATACATTTATGAGCCAAAAGTCAATACTAACCATGGTTGATAATCATTTGAGTAGTGCAAATCATATACCTATGTCAAAGAAAACAAAAACTATAGGTTTTTAAGTGAAAACAGGTATAATGATGAACTAATGTCAACAACTTTTAAAACCCTTAAGAGTGTTCAGAAGTCTCTGGAAACACTATAAAAGTTTCCCTACTTCTCTAATTAAAATTACTTCCTCAATCATGAAACAGTATTCAAGTTGAATTTTTAAAAATGATCTTATTCGGTGTTATTATTTTTTGTTTTGTTTCGTTAGCAGCACTGCAACATCATAATCTTGGGGTCAAGACAAAACTCTTTCTTTATCCCTCACCCATACCTAAATCTTGCCTTTTCAACTTCCTTAATACCTCTCTAGACTTTGCTTTTAACTCCTTCAGCAACACTCTAGTTCAAGTCCTCCTCTTTTGTCCTCTAAACTATTCTAATAGGCTCCTAACTGGCATTCTTGCCCCTCTTCCCATCTTTTCCTCTATCTAGCCTCTATATAACAATGTTCAAGTAATCTTCCTAATGCATTGCTATGATCATGGCATTTTTGTACAAAAAAGTCTTCTTAGGCTCCCTATTGCCTAAGGAATAAAGTATAATCTGACTCTATCAGTGAAAGGATCATAGATTGAAACATAAATAAAACTAACTTGTAGAATGAGTAAATATATAGATGCTTATAAGCTACTTACATCACTGTAAGAAAAAGGCAAGCTAATGCTGATTTCTTTAAGTTTTTCTTTTAATTGTATTTAGTTATAGCTAAAGTTTAACTAATTCAACTATTTAAATCATAGATCTAGATACATCAATAGACCAGCACTTTTGCTTAATATTTATTTATTGATTGATTGATTGACCTAGAGCTGGGAAGACCCACCCCAATCTGGTTTCAACCTGTGTAGCCTTATTTCATACCACTACCTATAAGTAGCTTTCATGCAGTCTACATGAAAAATACTGGACTGCTCTTTATTCTCCACTGTTATTCTGTCCCTTATATCTCCATGCCTTGATGATATTGTCCCCCATGCCTGGAATGGATTCCCTGTCAAGCTTTCTTCATTTGTTGAAGTGCTGCCCTTTCTTCAAGGTCCAATTCAGATGCTACCTAAAGCCTCTAACACCTCAGGTGAAAGGGATCTCTTCTGTCTCAAATTTCTTGTAACATTTGGACTAGACTTTTTTTTTTGTACTGTTGGGGCACAGCTCACAGATCTGGAAGGGATCTCAGATGCCATCTAGTCCAACCCCTTCATTTTACATATGAGAAAACTGAAACTGAGGCTTCAGGTATAGGTAGTACAAGAGGCGAGATTTAAATCCTATTCCTCTGACTCCAGATTCAATGCTCTTTCCACTATAGACACTTCCTCATTTCAGTCTTCCTGGTATTGTAGTTATTTAGTTTTGGTCTTTTCCCTTATTAGATTTATAAACTTCTCGAGACAAGGGCCTGTGCCTCATCTTTCTGTATCTTCTATGTCTGCTACAATGTTTTGCACATGAAATGCTTAATGAATGTTTAGACTGAATTATTTTCTACTTTTTTTATTGTATACGTACAGAGTTTCACTAAGCCCCTCAAAAAAGCTACAATACGAGCTAAACATACTTTTCTACGCTATTCTAAGCACCATTTGTTTATATGAAAAAATTAATTACAAGTTCCAAAGAAATGACTTACATAATTTGGGGGTACAGATTATAAATTAGAGACTTCCTCTATCTAAAAATGAATGTCACATTTCTGATGATTTGCCAGACTTCCACCCTAACCCTAAGTCAACAGTACGTGTGTTCTTGGAACTAGGTACTCGTTGAATATGTAAATACACAGGGGCTAACAAGCTACTTACTTGTATCAGTGTAATAAAAGGATGTTACAGTGCTGATTTCTTCAAGGGTTTCTTTTAGTTTTGTTTCAAAATGACCAATTCTGATGGCACATTTTACTAATATTATCCCCCTTCAAGACTTGGCTTAATGGAAAAGGTGTCTGAGGTCATAGGATTCACAGCTGGAAAGGGGCCTTAGAGATGATCAGGTCATCATAATTTCAAATTTGGAAAGTACTTCAGAGGTCACTTAATTCAATTCTCTCATTTTAACAGATGAGGAAACTGAGGCCTAGAGTTTAAGTGACTTACTCAAAGTTAAGACAATGAGTTATTAGTAGCAGAAATACAAACCCAGGTTCTAGCTCTAAGTGCAGTCACATCACCAATGCCTCCTTTCGAGAATATGCACATATCACATATGTGTATATGTATACACGTATATAGTTTAATGCATGTGTATATATGTATATGTGTATATACATATATGTATTTGTATACATATATGTATTTGTATACTATAACCTTTCATCAATTAATCATGAATTTATCCTTTGTACTCTGGAAGCTTAGAGCCTAGAATTCTCAGTCCACTCGAATTTTCAGTATTCAATTTTAACATATATTCAGGAGTATTCTGTGCATCCTAATCTTTATTTTAAAAAATTTATTTATTTTTTATGGTGGGGGCAATGGGGGTTAAGTGACTTGCCCAGGGTCACACAACTAGCTCGTAAGTATCTGAGGTTCCAGGGCCGATGCTCTATTCACCGCACCACCTAGCTGCCCCTAGCCAGACCGACATCAGACCCTCCAAAATCCCTCCTCCTTTTAGTTACCCCATGCGGTAAAATAGCATGGCCTGGGGGTGGGAGACACAAAGGTAAAGGGAGGGATTGTGGAGTTGTTTTAAAGTCAAGAATGACAGTGGTCAGGACAAGGGAGTGGAAGGAGAGAGAGCAAGGAGGACAATGGATGCGTGGAGGAGAGCTGGAGCGCAGCCGGAACGAGGGTAAAGGAGGGCGCAGATAGGATCCACGCTAAAGCAGAGGAGGTGGCCAACTCGGAGGAGTGCGGGATGCAACCAACAGCACAAAGACAGCACGGCAGGAGCCGCGGATAGGGCGAGGAAGAGATGACGGAAAAAGGGCCAGGTGGCGGGGTCTCCCTTGCATTTCCCCGCCCCTCTCCTAGGCCTGAGAGATGCAGCCCGGTCTCCGGTTCCTCCTCTCCTCTTTCCCCAGCCCTCCCTTCCCATCCTTCTCCATCCCCTGCGCGGCTGACGTGTCTGCCTGGCACTGCTCATGCTCTCCCTCCGCCCCAAACCCCGGTCCTAACCTCGCCGCTCGCCCCCGCCTTCTCTTCTCTCCTCCACGCCGCCTCGCCATCGCAGTCCCCCGCGCCCGGGGCCTCCCTCCGCCCCCATCACCCCTCCAGCTCCAGCCCCAGCTCCAGCCCCAGCCCCAGCCCCAGCCCCAGCCCCAGCCCCGCCAACATGGCTGCAGCGCCGCGTCTGCCCTTCTGTCTCCTCGTTCTACTCTTCTCCTCTGGGCCGCGGCTGGGTCAAGCGAACCGAAGCGGGGACCGGCGCTTCGCGGAGCTGAAAAGCTGCTCGGACGAGGAGTGCAGCAGTGAGTGGGCGCCCGGGTCTGCGGGATCGGGGCGAGGAGTGGGGGGACACGCGGAGTTGCGGGGCTGGGGGGCGGACGAACTGCCTGCTCCGAGGGTCAGTGCTCCGCGGGAGCCGGAGACCGGAGGCCGAGCTGGCGCCAGGGAACAGCTCTGGCTTCTGGAGGCAGAAGAAAGTACCCTCTACCCCTCCCCCGGTTTTTCTGCTCCTGGGTCTGGGCGTCTCCATAGCTCCGCCTCAGCCTGCCACCGCGGCACCCGAGCTCGCCGGCTTCTTCCACTTGTTGCAAGTTTTTTTGCCCCCGAATCGAGAGAGGGGAGATCAGGAGAAACGTGCCCTCACCCTCTTCTGAACTATAGGACCCCCTTCCAGCCTTTCGTCCGCCAGCAAGAGATAATAAACGTAACATCTAAGTCCTCTTTGGGATTTGTTGGTTTTCAAAACCCGGTGTTTGTTCTTTAGGCTAGGAGAAAGTGCCTTCCAGCCCTTCCACTGTTGTAAAGATCTCCTTTGCTGCATTTGTAGGACCAGATGGGTTGCTAGGTTTAAGGCAGTCTCATGGACTGCTTTTTCCACTCTCTTTGAGTCTTGCCGGAATTGTTTGCTACTTAGCTGTATTTTGAAAAGTGTTTTGGGTTTATGAAAGGGCAAACCCTGATTACCTACACGTGCATACACATTACATTTTTGTTATTGATCTCTGAATCTTGTCCTTATGTGAAACATTTTCGTCTCCAACGAGTCACAGGGGAGGTCCTATCTTTCACTCTTGAGACCAGAGCATTCATACCCGACTCCTAGGATAGCCCATTTTATAGGCAAGGAAGCTGAAGCAGTTAGTTAAAACTGGGTTTTTGATTTAAGTCCTTTGGTCAGCTCTAAGGGGGAGGGGTGGGGGGAGGGAGATAGTCATGAGTAATTTTGAAGAGTTAGAAAACAAAGAATCCACCAATATTACAACCTAAAGCAACTTTAGTTTCGCCCACTTTTGTTCTTGCAAACTCCAAAATATTCGAGTATTTCTTGACATTTGTGTTTGTCTGCCAACAACTCTTTTAACAAATGGATTTGTAACTAGCTGACCAAAGTGCCAGAAGAGAAGTAACTTGGCCCTTATAATATGCAAGGATGAATAAGAAAATATTCTTAAGAGGCATATACAGGTACCTTTAAAAAATTCTCTTAACTTGAAATACAAGAATTATTGTATCTCCTGAAGAGAAGTGAGCAGAGTCAATATACAACTAAAAGACCGACTTGTGCCAACAAATTGCTAAAAGTTAATCCTAGGGACTTTGAAATAAATTGAAACTGTCAGCCTTTTCTGTTCCTTCAAGTGACTTCTTTGGAACAGATCTTAAAACCAAGTTATTATATATGTGTCTCATTCCAAAGTATAGTTAGAAATTAATTTATGTAGAACTTTGATAATTTCTATGCTTAGGAAAGGAATAGAGTGTTTTCCATTGCCCCTCTTCTCCCTTTCCCCTTAACCACTGTGTAAACAATTTCTTGGCTCTTTTTTATACTAGGAAAAAAAAAAGTGGGTGCATTTTTAATTTTGGGTTTGGGAATTTTTTTCCTTTTTGTTCAGACCTATGATTTTATTTCCTCTACCAGTGTAGATTAGGAAATATTCTGCAGTTTATGGTCTTAGAGAGTTGCTTGGGATTCTGAGAAATTAAGAGACTTACTTGCAGAGGGTCTTACAACCGGTACCTCTGGAGATGGGATTTGAACCCAGGTTTTCTGATTCAGAGTCTGTTTCTCTCACTACATTATGCTGCAAATATAAGCATGTTTTGTGACTATATATGCAATCATGTTTGTATGTATACCAGCGTGTATATGTGTATAGTTATACATACAAAGATATAGCATACACATACATAAAACATACCCATATTTGTAGTATAGCATATGTATGTGCATTTTTACATGTACACATGTATATCATATATTCATATGTACGTATATATGTGTGGGGGAGTGACTAATAAAAATACCAACTCAGATTTGAGTCCCTGCCTGATTTAAATCCTTATTCTTTAGGCTGCTCAGTGTTAGAGCAATTTATGACAAGTCCTGTGTCTAACACTTATGTGACCTTAGGCAAGTCCCAACCTTTCTGGGTCTCAGTTTAAACATGCAAAATGAGAGGGGCTATCCTATAATAAGGCTTTTGAGGTTCCTTCCAGCTTCAGATCCATATAATGCTCTGATTTTGTATCTAAATTTTCCCTTAGTGTCTGCCAACAATGACTTTTTTTCATAATGCTGTTTTGATGTCAGCTTCTCTACTTTATGTTGTTGTTCACTCATGTCCAACTCTTCGTGACCCCATTTGGGGTTTTCTTGGCAAAGATACAGGAGTGGTTTTGCCATTTCCTTCTTCAGCTCATTTTACAGATGAGGAACCAGAGGCAAACAGGGTTAAGTGCCTTGTCCAGGATCACATAGCTAGTAAGTGTCTGAGGCTGGATTTGAACTCAGGTCTTTTTGATTCCAGGCCTGGCACTCTATCCACTGTGCCACTTAGCTCCCCTCTATCTGCTAATTTTCTTTCCTTTTAAATTCTGATTAAACTTGGTGTTTGATTTATTTAAAATTGCATTATTTCTCATAAAAACTTTTCATTTTAGGCATGTCTTTCTTATTTTATGATCAAAACCATAGACTTATTTGGCAAAGACTTGGCACCTCAAAGCCATTCTTTCCAGATAATTTGCTCAAGGAGCACAGCTTTGCTGCAAATATAATCATCAATTTTTAGTGCTGCATAGTAGGAATTTTGTCCATTTATAGGTAGTGTGCCTTCTAATAAATAGTTCAAGATAATTAGTCCTTGGGATTCAGGTTTTCTTCACAGCTCAGTTACCAACTCTTTGTGTGGCCTTGGTAAGTAATTTGATTTCTTTATACCTCAGTCTGTGAAATGAACATTTTTGTAGACATAAAATGGGAAAGTTCAGTGATTAGGGTATTAGGGAGCTACGAGTACTGTCCAAATCATTTTAATTTCTCTAGGTTTCTTTGCCATCCACCCACAGAACGGAATTAGTACTACCTGATGTAAACTGTCTACCTATCAAGAGTTGTTATGAATGTTAAAACAAAACAAAAAACAATCTTAAAACCTCAAGTGCTACTAAGAACCTTACTGTAGGTGGTTTTATCTACAAGTAGTTGGAAAACAATTCACATCTACAAAGTGTTCTCAGATTCCCCATGGAATGTAAACACAAACAGAAGTGTGAAGCGCTACTAGTGATGCTTGGTCCTTCTGCTTTCTTCTGACAGTGTTGATGTACCGGGGTAGAGCTCTGCAGGATTTCACAGGTCCAGACTGCCGATTTGTAAATTTCAAAGAAGGGGAAGCTGTGTATGTCTATTACAAATTAGTAGGAAGATCACCTGAACTTTGGGCTGGAAGTGTAAGTAATATTTAGCATATTTTCTTTTCTTCCCTTTTTATTTCATTATGCCATTGTCTTTCAATAACTACATTTCTTTCTTGAGATTCTTGTTTTTGTTTCTGGCACAAGTATAACACTGAGTTCAAGACCTTGTAAGCTATGAATATTCCATAAATATTCTAGGGTTGAGATGACTAAAAACCTGCAGATAATCTCCTTTATTGACCTGAGAAATGACAAATGCCACATACTTTAAATTTGCCAGGAGTATCAAAACTTGTTTCTGTAAGTTAAGAAGGTAAGCCTATTATAGTGTTTCAGGATGTGCAGTTGATTCTTTATATTTGCATTTTCTTTTATAGCAACTTAGCTAACATTTGTTTATGAAAAGCCTAAAGGACCTGGGAACTTGTGGCACATAATTATCTGTGTTATTAATAGGTTCTGTCATTGGAGAGCCTTGAGCATCATTAAAATGGGGGAAGGGATGGGGAAGAAGGAAAATTTGATTTTCACAATCTTTTTTCCATGATGGTTTTTTTTTTCCTCTTGAAAGGACTTTTAATTGGATTCTGTTGTAATTAGCTCCGTTTCAGCCATTTCTCCCCCTCTTCCACCATTACCCTTTCTCTCTTCCTGCCTCTTCTGAATGTCTTCTGCTAGGCTCTGTCCACAGCTACACATTTCACTAGTTACTAGTTTGTTTTAATTTGACCTGACTAATCCATCAAATTGCATATGTATTTTTAAAAAATTGATTTGGGAAAATTATCAGAAAGAGATGAGCCTGACTGGAAGGAATGCTTATGATTTCTCTTAATTCCCATGTTTGTTTGTTTGTTTTTTTAAGTGTAATGGGTTGAGAGCTTAATATTTTCTCCATACTGAAAGTGTTCTTAGTACTGTTTAAAGAAAGGCATAATCCCTACTCTAAGGCTTTGAAACTTGAGAGAGAGAAAAGCAAACGATAATAGGAAAAACCCCTTCATGAAGAAATAGGTATAATTTTTAAAAATAGAATCCTGGGTCTAGGTTCTTAAGAAATCCTCTGGTCTAACTCCCAGCTTCTAGGAGGTAATCCATTTAAACTATCTGATATGTATAAAAACCTATTCTATTTAAGACTCACGAAGGAGGAAATAAATCCCTAAGGGTAATTGTTCCATAGTGTAGTGGCACTATGCTGTATTGGTAGTTGGAGTACTAGTTCCAATCTGATCTCATCCATGAAGCCTTTCTTGATTACCTAACCCCAAACTTGTTTGGTGTTTATCATCTACTACCTTTTTGTGTAGTTATTTGTGTACATATTCTGGCTAGATTAGAAATTCCTAGAAAGCAGGACATGTCTTATATTCATATATCCCTTACATAGTGATTTCAACATAAGATATGTTCAGTAAGTATTTGTTAAATGAATAATTATTTGAGTGCCAATTAATGCATAGCATTATACCAGGGCACTGAAGACTTGAGGAATATAGGTGCCTTTGAGAAGCTCTCAGTCTGTTTTCCTTCCCTATATCTTTTGACAAATGGCCATTGGTGGCAAACAAAGTAGTTGAGAGAGTTCATGTATGACAGTGCAGTAGAAAAGTGGGTACAAAGTATTCCACATGTGAGTTGTAGAAAAAGGAATTCAACTAAATCAAATAAATATTTATTTGATAAGTTCCTACTACCTGCTAGCATGTGATTGAGATGATATATTTCTAAGCTACTTTGTATGATATAGGAGAAGTTTTAAGACATAATCGCTTATAGCTATAGCTTATAGTTGTACATGAAATAGTCAAAGAGAAACCCATGGTTAACGGCACAAATGAGTGCTACAGACAGGGAAGATTTTGGTGTTTTAGGAGCTGAGAATGGAAACATCATTATGGACTGAAATATTTGGAGTAAGTTTTATGGAGAAAGTAGCATCTCTCCTGGAAAATCCTTTGGATGGAACTTTAGCTAAATATTCTGGCTTCTAGGCTTAAATTTCATGACCACCACTAATTCCTTGTATGACCTCAGGCAAATCATTTCACATCTCTAGACCCCGGTTTCTTCATATGCAAAATTAGGGAGATAGGGCTAGGTATTCACTAAGGTCTTCTCCAGCTCTGGAATCTAATGGTCTTATGATTCCTGTCTTTCTATCAGTAGAGAGAAGCTTGAGTTTCTACCATTCCAATACACCATGACTCACCACCTGAATGTTTTTTTATTAAAAACCAAAATATTTCTTTTTCCTTAAATTTCATTTTATACATAATAGATTCCCCAAAATCCATCTGTAGGAGCCATGATACTGTTTGCAGAAACCTACACTTTGACTGATAGATCATTTTCAAGCAAGACTAGCTCCTCACTCAATAACATGTCAGGCTGCTCTCCTGCCCTTTCTATTATACCTCTTTCACTCTTAGAATTAATGTTACTGAGCCACTCTTTTACTGCTTAATATTTTATAGAGTAGCCTGAAAGTTATGCTTATTTGTCTAGAATTTGTCTTAGAATATTAGCCTCGTAAGCTTTATTGAGGAAAACTTTCTATTTCTAGTACAGCTTTGGAAAGGAAAAAAATGTTGGCATTGAGAGAAATTCATTGTGGCGCACCTGTAAACCTAATTGAACATTGAACTATATCCCTCACTTCTGTCCTAATAGTTAGCTTGTGCTTAATTCTAGTGCCTCCCTCTGTTGATTATTTCCATTTTATCCTGTCTACAGCTTGTTTGTATACATAGTTGTTTACATATTTTCTCCCTCATTAGATTGTGGGTTCCTTGAGAGCAGGGACTGTCTTTTGACTTTCTTTGTATCCCTAGCACTTAGCACAGTGCCTGGTATATAATAAGCATTTAATAAATGTTTATTCACTGACTGACTTAAGCATTAGTTTTCCTATTGTAGCAAAATTATTCATTCTCTAATTCTATTTAGTGTTCTTGAGAAAGGTGATACCACCCAGTTTGTAAATATAGGGTTTGTTATTGTCTGTGCTTATGCTCAAGTGGTAAATATTAAATATTCTCTTTGTTTAAGAACTTGTTTTTCCTTTCTAGAAATACTTCCTCCTTTCCTTATTTTTCTCATTATCATTAAAGCTTGTTACCTGGACAAGTGAAATTTGTTTTTCCTTACATTGCAGAGGTATAAAGCTGAAAGTTATCATACAGACCTATCCAGTCCTTCTCTTTAGCAGATTACCACTCTGGGCTTTAGTTTCCTTAAGTGATTTTCCAAGGGTATGTGTTAGTGGAAGTTATTTAGTAGAAGAATTGGAATTACAAGCCATATGTGTTAACTCCTAGTTGTGAGCTCTTTTCATTATTTCATAAGTATCATATAGTAATTCTTTCAGAAAATGTAGGAGGTTCTTTTAAAAGCTTTTAGAGTGATGCTTGGGTCCTCATTTTTTTAAACTATTCTGGAGCCTTTTTTGGGGGGGGGAGGGTGGGCGGAATATGTTAGAAACTATGACTTCAATGGCCTATCGGCCAGTCTTTTATTGTACTATCTAATCTTCATAACAGCATTCCAGTAGTAATGTTGACTTTTAGACAGTTGTCGGATGTTACTAATGAGATTATTACTGTGGAATATTTAACTAGTTGGTGATAAGATGACTTTATTTCCTGTATGTGGGTGTTGGGTATGTATAGGTACATATATGTGTATATATATATGTGTGTGTGTATACATATACATATCCTTTAGTGACTATGCAGTGAGCTACTTTTGATATAGCTATATGTTTAATGAAAAGGACACATGACAGTTTTTGTAACTACTACAAGTTTGCTATTTTCTTTCTCTGCAGTGTGTATTGATATTTCCTCATTTTGTTCATTCTTTTGGACAGGTTGGCAGTGTTTTTGGGTACTTTCCCAAGGATTTAATTGAAGTAAATCATCAGTATTCTGAACAAGAATTAGAACTACCAACAGATGTAAGTAGTGAGTTTTTTTTTTTGTTCTTAATTTATAATTATTAAGTAGACCATCTATTTCTTTGAAGTGGGTTTTAAAAGACTGTAGTAGTTACTTTCAGCTTGAAAGTAAGGAATCCTAATAGTCTTTGCATCAAATTTTAATTTGTGCTAGAGCATATTTTTAAGTAGAGAGAGAATTTTAAAGACCTTGTGACGGAAGATATAATCTTTGAAACATAAAAGATTTTCAGGCAGCTGGGTAGCCTAAGGGTTCTCTCCTTTACATCTGGAATTTCAGTTTAATCCAACAAGCTTATATTGTATTTTCTAGGTGTCAGGTGCTTTTTTAGGTAATGAGGATACACAAAGTACAAATAGTACCTTTCCTCAAGAAGCTTAATTCTACCAAGGAGAAATTTGTGTATAAAATTTCAGGAATGAAGTATTTTTGGTTGTTTTAAGACATATGTCAACCTATTTTTTTTGGAGGTGGGGGAGCCAATTGGGGTTAAGTGACTTGCTCAGTGTCTAACAGCTAGTAAGAGTCTGAGCCAGATTTGAACTCAAGTCCTCTTAACTTTAGGGCCGGTGCTCTATCAATTGTGCCACCTACCTGTCCTTGTCAGCCCATTTTTGCAAGTAAATTGATAGACTGGTCCATTAAAAATTATTTTGATCTTGTATGCTCCCCCTTCCCTCCTCTGACACTGTGACTACAGTAGTATAAGCCTTTATCACTTCACATCTAGATTGTTATAACAGCCTTCAGGTTAGTTTCCTTGCCTTTTCCACTCTCACCTATCCTCTATTCACCTGTCAAATTGATCTCCCTAAAGTGCAAGTCTGATCACATCAGTAAACTCCATGAACTCCCTGTTCAGTAAACCCCAGACCTGCTGTTACCTGTAGGAGCAGATATAAAACCCTCTGGTTTTTAAGTCCTTCATACCCTGGCCTCTTTCTACTTTTCCAATCTTTTTATGTTTTGCTCCCCTCTGTGCACTCTGCAGTCTGGTGATGTTGAGATTCCTGGATGTTCTTTGCAGAAGACACTCCCATCTCCAGAGCCTGTGCACTTTTATTGGTTGTCCCTCAGAAGCTGGAATTCTTTCTCCTCATCTCTGCTTCCTGGTGCCCCTGGTTTCCTTAAAATCTCATTCTAAGGCCCAAGTAGCCTTTGCAAGTAGCACCTCTAGTCCTCCTTAAACTTAGTGTCTTCCTTTTGACACCATCACCAATTTATCCTCTATATGTTTTGCTTACACATGTTTTCGTGTTGTCTCTTCCTTTAGACTCTGAGCTCCTTGATGAGCATTCTATTAATAAAAAAAAGCTCAAAGCCCTCATCCATACTGCTACCTCACAAAGTGCTATTACCAAGTTTCCTCAGCCAGTTTGTGCAATGGTCAAGGGTTTTTTCCCATGCTTAGTCTAAAGACTGATTAAAAAGATGTATTCTTTCCTGGATAAAGTATCAGGGTTTAGCAGTTTCTCTCTTACTTTAAATGAGTTGGGTTAATTTTATTGATTTACTCAATCAACCCCTATTCTTACAAAAGAAAGTATTATCCCTAACATCAGTGACTGAATATTTGGTAGATTCAGGGGAAAGAAACAGAAAGAGTTTGGGGATTGAGGCCTTGGTCTTCAGTGAATTAAGGCAACGTGGCTTCTTGCTGGGTGAAGTGGTCTCATTGCCAAAGTGATAATACAGTGCAGTTTCCTCCTTCTAATTAATTGTTCTAGAGTTGCTAGAGAGCTCAAAAGCTGGTAGCATCGATCTATGGCAGAATTTTGGCAGAGGTAGCAGTATGGATGAGGGCTTTGAGCTTTTTTCATCCTCTGACTTTTTCCAATCTTGAGGGTGTTTAAACTGACTTTGTTGCAGCAGCTGCCTCACTTTTAATCGCATGACAGTTCTCTATTTAAATGTGATTCAGGCAGTCTGTAGGTCATGGAGACATGACCTGGGCAGATTGTACTCTGTCAAGAAGTTGAGGCTTCTGAGAGTATTAATAGAATGGTTGTAAATGCTTTCATCTGCAGTGAAAGGGAGAGCTGATACAGCATTATTTTCTTACACACACACACACACACACACACACACACACACACACACACACACACACAACCAATTAGTCCAGTTGTTAATTGAAGCCATTAGCCCTGCACCATCAAAATAAAGAACCTCCAGTTTAGCTGAGCATAGACTCTTAGGCTTGATGACTTCAGTGCAGAGAGAACTTAGAAAAACAGGTTGGCAAACTGGGTTCAGCAGTAAGGATTGGACAGAGGACAGAGACACTTGTAGACTAAACAGACTTATCTTGCCTATGCTTCACTTAGACTAAGGCTCACTTAGAGCCTTCCATACCCCTTCTTTTACTGAGAAGGAAGCTGAGGCCCAGGCTGGGGAAATGACCCCCTGAGCAGTCATATAAAAGACTTTCTTTGAGAAAAGGAATGAGTTAATTATATTTTAATGGATAGGAAGCAAATCATTACTGGTGTGGAAGTCATTCTCAATCAGTTGTCTGTACATTCAGATGACCAGCTTGTTAGAGCCAAGATCAAATTTAATACAAAACTAAAAGAGAATAAAAATAAGGATAAGGCATTTTAAAGCTAATAAAATTAATTGAAATTTTCTTTAAGTATATGATTTATTGAAATCCAATACTTGCTCAGCTTTTTATTTAGTTAGGGATAACAATAGCATGGATAAAATAAAATCCACAAATAGACATAAAATTTCATTTAAAATTAATATAAATGACTCCAGGTTACTTTAGGGTATATCCCTCAACAAATCTCCTTTTCTCATTCTTATTGACATAATTAAGTAGGAAAGAACTTCTGACACGATTCGCTCTTTCTTTTTACTTTAAATTTCCTATGTAGCCTGCATCCCGATAAAAGGTCCTTTAAGTGAACAGCATTCTTTGCTAAGCCAGGGAAAATAAGAACAACTAGAATGACAAATTCTGTTGATTTCTAACATGAAGTGGAAGATATGAAAGTATATTCAAGAAGACAAGTTGATAGGAGAGTTAGTTTCTCAGCTTCTCCTGAGTCAGAGCTTCATGAAGTAGTTTGATGATTTTGTTTGAAGGGAATTCCTAGACCATCAGATACAACTATTTTTAAATATAAATATAAAATTCATTCACAAATCAGTTATTGAAATCTAAGACAATTCCAAAAGACTCATGATGGCAAATGCTGTCCATATCCAGAGAAAGAACTGTGGAGTCTGAATACAGATCGAAGCATACTATTTTCTCTTTTTTTGTTGTTATTTTTCATATTTTCTTTCTCATGGTTTTCCCTTTTGTTCTGATTCTTCTTTTACAACATGACTAATGTGGAAATATATTTAATGTGATCATACATATATAGTCTATATCAGATTGCATGCCCTCCTGGGGAGGGTGGGAGTGGAAGGGGGGGGAATTTTAACTCAAAATCTTATAAAAGCAAAGGTTGAAAAATAAAAATAAATAAAATTTTAAAAAATGAGTTATTGATAAGCCACTTAATATGTGTAATCAAGAGCTGACTGTATTACAGGACTCAGGGTATGTATTAAAGATGGTTTGACACAATAACATTTTTCTTTTCTTTCAGGAAACAGATTTTGTTTGTTTTGATGGAGGAATGGATAATTTTGACAACTATGATGTTGAAGATCTTTTAGGATTTTTGGGAGAAACTGTGAGAGGCAAAGGTGAAGATGAATTGAACACTTCTGGAACTGAAAGCTCTGAGAAACCTACAGAAGAAATAGAGGAGGAACATCCTAAGAAGGTGAATATTGAAGAACCTCTTGAAGTATCCAAGGATGGCAATGATGAGCCTGAAACAGCAGTGGACAGCAAAGTTCTTGCAAATTCGGAAGAAAACAGCTTACCGTCTGAAAATACTAAGATTCTAGAGGAAGAATTTGAAACACAGAGGCCCCCAGTTAATGTAAATAGTCATGTAGATAATCCTCAGGGAAACCAACCCTTCCTTGAGCCCTTAGAAGAAATGCTGCAAGACAAATTAAAAGTGCCAGAGAGTGAGAATACCAAAAACATCAACATTTATCAGCTTTCTAAGGACTGGGAGGAGATTGATGCCTATAAACTTTTGCAAAAGGAAATTAATTTGGATTTGAAAACAAAATTTGGCTCAACTGCAGATGCACTTGTATCTGATGATGAAACAACTAGGCTTGTTACTTCATTAGAAGATGAATTTGATGAGGAATTGGACACCGATGATTCCAAACTTGAGGAAGAGGACAATGAAAGCTTTGATGAACCACCATTACTAACTTTTACAAATGGAGAAGATGGGAAAACACCAAGGAAGACAGTAGTTGAGAAATATTCAACAGGTGAAAATACGGAAGGAGATCCTGATGAAATAGCTCAGCTTAGGACTGATGAAAAGAATGATAAAAACATACTGAAAACCTTAGGAGATACTATTTTATCTATTGTTGGTGGAGGTGAAGAAGAAAGAGATGCCACAGATTTGGATGGCTCTGATTTAGATGAAAAAAAGGTAGAGGATGATGAAAAAGTCCTGACTAGTAAATGGGAAGAAGACAGCACTCCTTTGACTATGGAAGTGCCTGTAACAAATCATGACAAAAACCTAGACGATGCCCTTGAAATTGGCATGGTGACTGAAATTAAGGAAAAAAGCGAGAGAATACCATCATCCACAGAAGAATTCATAAAGAATGGAATGGAATTAGGGGATGAAGACATTTTTATAAAAAGCCCTACTCATGAAACTGACCTTAAACTTAATAATCCTGCTGAAATAAGAGAAGACACTTTAAAATCACTCCTTAATGACATGGGAGATGACCTAAAGGGAACTATTATTCAGCAGCCCACAAAAGGGGAAAAGTCTGGAGAGAAGGTTTTAGATGACAACTTAGAGAGTGATCTTGTACATAAAACTCTCTGGAAGAAAATGAAAGAGAAAAATACTGAACAGAAATCTATAAATATTAAACCACTGTTAGAAGATGAACAACAAAATGCATCCAAAGGAAATGTGGATATAATAGTTATTTCAGAAAATGAACAAGAGCAGAACATGTATCCAGTGAAGATGCAAGGAAAGGAATCCATGCAGCCAGCTGGGCTTAAAACTCAAAATCAAATCAATATTTCTTCTGTAGATCAAACTGATTTATCAAGAGACAAGGTGGAGGAGAATCTTATGTTGGAAGAAAATTTAATGGACCAGCGGGAAAAAGATATGAAAACTGAGATTAGCAAGAAGCTGGATGAAAAGATCAGGCATTCTGAAAGAGAGATTCCAGATCAACTTTCCAAAGATGGAAGCAAAGAAATGGAGAGCACGCAAAGTAAAGACAAAGATATTCCTAAGGATGGAGAAACAAATTATTTCAAAGAAAACGTGGGCCAACCCCTTATCATAGAGACAACAGAATTCCAGACAGAAAAGGCAGAAGCTGAAAGTGATGACTTCTATACAACTGAGGATTTGTTAGAAGATGAAAATGCTATTAGCGCTGCTGCTAGTGACCAGAGCAGTAGGATAAATGCTGATGTGCAAATGAGAGAAAAAGCTACTTCAGGAGTCACTAATCTGATTCATACCATGGAAGACACCAAAGAGAAAACAAGTATGATTTTAGAAACTGAGGGAATAGATAGCAGCTTGCAAGAGTCAGGCAGGACTATGCCTAAAGAGGTAACTGCAAAGGTTGGAGAATCTGTTAAAATAGCTGTAGAGCAGCAAGAAAAAAATCCCCTCAAAAAAGATGAAAAATCCACATCCACTGCAGTTAGTGACTCTTTTGGCAAGGATGAAAACCAGGCTCTAGATTTAGTTGAAGAGACTAATTACTTTGAAAAAGAAGATGGTCCGAAAAACAAAAAAGACTTCGGCTACACAGAAAGGTCTTGGCCAGATGATTTCTCCCAAGAGGACCGTGAATATTCACAGAATTTCACTGATACAGAAAGCCAAACAAATCAGCAATCTGATTCTACAGAGCTTGACGATAACTTGGTATATAAAAAAGCTGTAAAGTTAGAATATAGTGACACAATAAAGCAACTGCCTATCATTAAGGGCTTTCTTGATGAAAAACGAGTAGAAAGATTAGAAAAGTACCTTGGGTCTGAAAATGTCCTCTTAATGGAATCCACATTCCATGACATGGAAAGTAAGCTAGAGCTTACTCAGAAGGAGAGCCTGGCATATAATATGGAAAAAGCCCTGGACGATGTCTTTCGCTCCTCAGAATCAAACATCCTTGATATGGTGGAGAAAATGTTAGATTCAAGAGTGGTAGAAAACAAGGAACTGGGCATGAAGGAGATAGACATGTTTGATGAAGAGGCTGCTCTGCTGGATGATATTCAGGACCTGATCTATTTTGTCAGATACAAACACCCTTTGGTAGAAGAGAGTGTACCACTAGCAGTTGCTGAGCCTCCAGAACGAAGTTCTGAGATGCCTCTTCCAGGTAAGTACAAATCTATTGTCTTCTTGAGTTAGGCTGGTGGGTAAGGACGGTTTATGTTCTTTCTGGAATCCAATGCAAGGCATAACCCTATATGAGACCAGCCTGGTCTGTTTAGGAAAGAGTCCATGACATCTCAATAGTCTTAAGAATAGCCATTCATTTCCCTCTCTTTGACCCCAAATTCCCTTTCCCCACTTATCTCAGTGGCAATTGGGTATTATTATTATTATTATTGTTTAAAAATAAGTTTTATTGATGACTTTTGTTTTTAATCATAGCCATCTCTAGATATACCATCCTCATTCTTCCAAATTGAACCTTCCATTATGGCAACAACAAAAACAGTTAAGCAAAACAAACAGAAACACTGACCATTTCTGACAACACCTACATTTTCCCCTAGTAGTCCTCCATCTCTCTGTCAAAAGGAGGGAAGTATATTTTATTCAGAGTTATTATTAATGATAATAGCTAATATTTTATATAGTACTTTAAATTTTAGAAAGCACATTCCTCACAACAAAAGTAGTACAAATATAATTTTCATTTTACATATATGGAAACTGTCTCAGAGAGGTTAGAAGCCAACAACCTCTTAGGATTTTCATCTTCCTGAGCATCAGTTTCCTCATCTACAGAATAAAGAGTGGACTAGATGCCCTCTGAGGTCTCTTCCAGCTTTGAGCCTCTAAGATTTACAATACCCAATGATTTGCTTAAGGTCACAAGCTACTAGGTGTCAAAGCCAGGATTCAAACTTAGCTCTATTGACTTGATTTGCTGTTTTTCGCATTACACCACACTACATCTCCAGCATGGTATTACTGTTCTCAACAGTAAGAGTTAACCAAGTTATTGAGGTATGATAAGTATTATATCCTCTAAAAATACTTTGGAAAAAAAGTTTCTGTATAAAGATAATTATTCAGTTCAACTATTTTATTACCTATTGTGTCATGAGGAATAGGGATATCTAAAAATTACTAAAATTCACTGTCATTCCCCCTTTCCCCCCCAAAAAAACCTTCATATTAATTTCAACCTATTGTTATACCTCTTTTCCTAACAAATTGCATTGCTATTAATAAATAGTTAAATGCACTGGCTTGGTTTATCATGCTCATCTTTGGGCATTGTTTTTTTTTTTAATTAATTAATTTATTTTTAGTTTTTGAAAATCACTTCCATAAGCTTTTCAGTTTTATGTTTTCTCCCCCTCCCTCTCCACCTCTCTCACCAAGACAGCATGCAATCTGATATAGGCTCTACATATACATTCCTATTAAACATATTTTCACATTAGTCATGTTGTAAAGAAGAATTAGAACCAATAGGAGGAACCACAAGAAAGAAGAAACAAAACAAAACAGAAGATAAAAAAGAGCAAATAGTATGCTTTGATCTGCATCCAAATTCCATAGTTCTTTCTCTGGATGTGGATAGCGTTTTCCATCATGAGACTTTTGGAGATATCTTAGATCCTTGCATTGCTGAGAAGAGCTAAGTCTGTCAAAGTTAGTCATCACACCACATGCCTGTTACTGTGTACAACATTCTCCTGGTTCTGCCCACTTCACTCAGCATCAGTCCATACAAGTCTTTCCAGGTTTTTATGAAGTCTGCCTGCTCATAATTTCTTACAGCACAATAGTATTCCATTGCATTCGTATACCACAACTTGTTCAGCCATTCCCCAACTGATAGGCATCCCCTTAATTTCCAATTCTTTGCCACCACAAAAAGAGCTGCTTTAAATATTTTTGTACATGTGAGACCTTTTCCCATTTGTATGATTTCTTTGGGATACAGCCCTAGAAGTGGTGTTGCTGAGTCAAAGGTATGCACATTTTTATAGCCCTTTGGGCATAGTTCCAGATTGTTCTCCAGAATGGTTGGATTGGCTCACAACTCCACTAACAATGCATTAATGTTCCAATTTTCACACATCTTCTCCTTGGGCATTCTTATGGATGATAAATACAGACAGTGCCCTTAATAATTTCTTCAAGTTATTCTTAATCCACTAAGCTTTTAGGAGAGGGAACAGTTTTTTTTTGGCAAGGCAATCAGGGTTCAGTGATTTGTTCAGGGTCACACAGCTAGTTAAGTGTCAAGCTTTTGAGGCCAGATTTGAACTCAGGTCCTCTTGACTCCAGGGCCAGTGCTCTATCTACTGTACCATCTAGCTGCCCCAAGGAAACAATTTTCTAAAAATGCTTCTGTAAGCATAGGAATAATTTTTTAAGCATTCTGAATGCTTAGGAGAATAAAGCAGAGAAATATAACAAGGTTCCAAAAATCAAATTATATGCATATTCAGGGAGATAATAGAAATCAATTTGTTCAAATATATGATGCTTAGTCCTAACTTTCCCAGGAAGAAATTTATTCCATGTAGTAGCCTAAACAACAAATTAGCATATTTGAGTGTAGAGTAGCATAACTACAAAGATTTAATTTTAACAGGTAAGTAATAAGGTTATATAAATCTATAAGATATTTGGAACCATATACTATGGCTTGCTAAACAGCATCATAAATATGGACATTTTAGTATTTCCTGTAGAACGAAAAACAGAACCCAAAAGAGACCAGGGAAGAAAGTTTTCTGTGAATGAAGGGGATACGTTGGCACCAGAGGAAAACAAGAGGCCGCCAGAGAGTATACAAATAAAACTTCATAAAGTGGAAGTACCAGAGGAGGATATGGACATCTCAGAAAAGGATGATCTTTTGGATTCAGGAGAGATCAGAGATATCAGTGACTCAGAAGATGGACTACTGGTCAAAGAGTCCTCACCAGACCAAAGTATTGTGGAAGATTTGGCTAGAGGTAAGACTTGCTCACTTTTATTGAAAAAAAGTACTAACTTTTCTTCAGAAAATATCTCATGTACATCACAGACAAGATTTTCTTGGTGAATGTAGTAAAATGATTTTGTTGTCAAAGGGATACAAGATTCAATGAATATGTTTTACATGTTTATAAAGAGTGCGAGAGAGAAACTACCATTCCTGCCCCAACTTAAGAAATTTCATATTAAAAAAACTGAACTAAAATGGGCCTTGATTAAGTTCTAAGTTAGAACTTGATTATTGGTTAATTCTTTGTCTATAACAACCCATGAAACACATAAAAATACAAAACAGCCATCAGTCCTGTGTGGCCTTCTGCATTTATAGTAATGGTGGCAGTGATAAAAGGGAGCAGAGGTTGCAAAGAATCACATGGTTTTTTTTTTTTTTATAATATCATCTATAAACATTAATGTATATGTGGTTACTTGAAATGTAAGAGCCTTGTCCTGTGACTGAGCAGACTTACTACAGGAGGTACTGGGTCATAGTAATCTTCACATTCTCTGTATAAATGAAAGCAGAAGACAAAAAGCCAACATGAAATGGTTTACAAATTTTACTTGAAGAGGCAAATAGAGAAGCTGGAAGAATTGTCAGCAAATTCCTGATGTTTTTGTTCATTTTGTTTTGAAATATTTGTGATAGAAACATTTGTAAAAATCATAAAGATAATTTCAGCCTATTGGCCAAATTGAGTTTTAGACTATAAAAGAGGAGAAATTTTAGAAAGATCTTCCTAAGGGCCTCCACATTAACTTAGCATATACTTTAATACTCAGTGACTTTAATGTCAGTAGGAAATGTAAAATATGGCTCAGGAATAAGAAATGTAAGAGGTGGGGGCAGCTAGGTGGCACAGTAGATAGAGCTCCAGCCTTGGAGTCAGGCGGACCCGAGTTCAAATCCAGCCTCAGACACATGACACGTACTAGCTGTGTGATTCTAGGGAAGTCACTTAACCCCAATTGCCTCACCAAAAAAAAAAAAGAAAAAAGGAAATGTAAGAGGTAGGCCTATTGTATATACTACACAGAAGCTCTTCATCTATGTATAACGAATATTTTCTTCAAGAAGAGAGTTGGGAGGTATTAAATAGGTGGTCACTGGAGGTCATCACAACATATTAATTTGATTATACCCTAATGGAAAGGAAATATATGTTTACCAGTATGAAAGCCATTGACTTTTTACAACAAAAAGCAAAATCAATATCAGATTAGAAGAAAGACTAAAAAGGAGATGTGGCATTTAATGAAATCGTCTCTAGTTTGATCTGTTTAAAGAAGCTGTTCGTGCCAAGTAATGAAAAATACATGAAAGCATAGATATCAGCCCAGATTACTGCTGTTTTCTAAGGGAATTTAACCAATGGAAATCAGTAGACACAATGTAAAGACCAAACAGTCCTAGAAACCACATTGCCAAGTGAAGAAATATGGCAGACAAGGTAACACAGGTTTAGAATATAAAATTGATTATAAAATTATAAGTAGGAGAATGGTAGAAAATTATGAGTATAGTACTGCCTTATTAAATAACAAGAAGCTGTAACAAGGAAAATAAATTTATTAAAAGCATGGTAAGCAGTATAATTGAGCCAGATTATTCCAAGAATATTTAATGATGAAACTGGAAGAACAAAGGACAAAAAATGGAAAAAAGATCTTTCAGGATTGATACACAAATTAACAATTCTTTTTACCATCAACATAGTAGACTTATCACGTTTTGTCTCAGCTTCAAAATCTCTGATAGGCTATATATGAAGTAGAAAACAGCATTTAAGAAAATAAGGATGGAAAGTAAACCTGTATTAAATTTAGTATATGCAAAAGAGGTCCATGCAGGAGGTGACACGATTTGGAGAGGTAGGCAGGAGAAGTTGAGAGATTAATTGCCAAGATATCTGAAAGAGGGGAGAATATCAAAGGCTTGGGAAAAAATTACAGATGTTAAATACTTCCACAAAAAGTGATGAAGATACCAATAATTATCAACTCATATTCCTAGTTTCCTATTTTTACTGTTTTAAAAATTATCTTAATAAAAGTGATATGCAATTGAAAGGACAGCATATACCATGGTCCATGAATATAGTGGACTCAGAATAATTAAATTGAATAGGAAGAACAGGCTCCATTGCATTTGGAAAACTGCAGTACTTTTAATGACTTCAAGCTTTTCCCTGAAACAAAGAACCATTTTTAACAATACTCATATTTTTCTGATAATGTCATACGGCTTCAAGTCAAGCAGTGTCACAGTCTTTAAAGAATTAAAGTTGCATATCACTCAGAGAGTAATGGAGAGCCATGCATGGTGGGTATGAGTTGGCTGCAACACATGAATACAAATTAAGAACTGCACAGAAGAGGTGGCAGAGAGATGTATACCAAGATATACTTCTGGAAGAGAGGAGACAGGCCAGTCAAGTCGAGAGAGCAAAGATAACCATTGGACAGCCTGGGTGTATTCTGTTTTTACCTATGCAATAGCAAGAGCAGGATGAGTAAATCTATTATGGAGGATTTATTGGAAGACATGAACAAGGATCTCATAGAGTGTGGGATTAATAATAATTAATAATAATAAATACCTAACATTTATATGGCATCCTCTATGTGCCAGGTACTATGCTAAGCACTTTACGAATATTATCTTCTTTGATTCTCAAAACAACCCTGGGGAGGAAGATACTTTTATTATTCCCATCTTACAGATGAGGAAACTGAGGCAAGCAGAGGCTAAGTGACTTTCCAGGATCACACAGCTAGTAAGTGTCTGAAATAACTGTCTTGAACTCAGTGCTTTTATCCACTGTGCCACCTAGCTGCCTCATCCACATGTCTTTGTACTGCATGCCTTTGCATGTGGATGAGTCACCGTCTGCACCATCGGATAGGTAAGGGATCCATCCAAAGATTGAAGTGTTTGTTTTGCCACAGAATCATTTATTTTACAAAAGGATTAATCAAAGAATTCTTTTAAATAGCAGGTCCTTCTGGAACATTTATATTTTTTGATACCTTTTTTTAATTCAACATATACAAAACTTTTATGGAAATATCTATCGAAAGGGTATGCTTCTGATGAAGATCATTTTTTTGAAGTTGCAGGCTTATTGGGCAGGGACTGTTATCTCCTTTGCATAGTCTCTAATTTGTATAATTAATACATATGCATTTTGATCATTCATAGGAAGAATGTTTAAATGAGGTAACTCGTAGGGTGCTCTGCAAAACATAAGGTGCTATTAAAAAATGTTAGCTATTATTATTCATTATAATAAAGTAATATAAGCATGGGAATAGAACATTTGTATGAACAAAGACAAATTCTTATTGAGCAGCCCATGCTTAATAAATCTCTGTCAAATGAATAATTAGTGTTGAGTTCTCTCCAACACCCAATTTAACTTTGAGGGTGTTGGAAACTTTGAAAAAACAAGTGTAAATTCACTTTAAGAAAAAAAAATACAAAATCCAAATTTATCATCTCCCCCACAAAAAAAATTCAAGATTGTTCTTCAGCTTTGTAACTTTTCATTTCTGACAAAAGGATCCTTCACAACACTGTTCACTTTGAGATTCGTTTAAATAGTGAACTCTTCTACTGCATTTCATAAATGATTCCATATTTTAAAATTCAGTTCACATGCCAGTTCTTAGAGACTTAGTTGTTGCGAAAAACAAGATGAGGTTTGACATAGGAAAAGGGAGATTAATATCTTGTCACTGAGCAAGTCTAATCTCTTATTCTCTATAAAAATTGTAACTTGTGTGTGTGTGTGCTATAGTTCAAGGTCAAGATGTATCAGAGGGTAGGATAATCTTATTTAGGACTGTCTCAGATATGTAGGTATTTTAGAAAATTCAATCGAAATGACTTCATCTTATGTATGTTAAGTGCATCTTATGTACAAAATACTACCTCGACACTAAAGATAACAAAGACAAAAATTAAACATTCCCTGTCCTCAGTAAACTTACATTCTGAGGGAGGAGGGCTCGAAGGAGGATATGATATATAAATAGATAAGTGTAATGCTAGGTAGGGAGTGATGGGGACAATAGTGAGGTCAGACAGATTCACCTAGAAAGGTTAAATTTTTCCTCATTCAAAGAACACCACTTCTTCCTCCTTCCAGGTTAGGGATCAGGGAAGACTAAACAGCATGTGGCACGTGAGCTGAGAAAGATGAGGTATCTAAAATTGGAGAAGAGTAGAGTTTACTAGCATGGAAGACTGCCTGTGCAAATGCACAAAGGTTGGTGTTAGCATGTTAAGTCTGGGTAACAGCTCGTAGTCCAGTTTGGCTAGAATGGAGATTTGGTAAAGGAGTAATTTAATATTTCTGCTAAGGTAGATTGGAAGTGTCTAAATGTCAAGATAAGGATTTTGGATTTTATCCTAGAGCCAATTAGGAACCTCTGAAGGTTTCTGATCAGTGGAGAAAGAAGTGTGAGTATGTGGCATAACCGTGTATGTAATTCATCTTTTATCTAAGTGTTTGTGGGCTGGTAAATTTTGGATGGAAAAGAGGAACAATAAAGAGTAGCTATTTCTCATTAAATAAAGGTCAACACAACTGATTCTCGTCAGTCACAGTAGTTATGTCCCATAAAGTCACCGTGAACACTGAATTAGCCAATACTGAAGCATTGTTCCTAGGGGATACACAGGGTTAAGTTCTAGCGAGTCTCTGGTCACAACATTTACTTTAGTACTTTCTGCAGCGGCCTGGTGTGCAAATCAGAGAATTTCCTATTCCTTTTTCTGGACGTCATCCTGTTGTTGATTTGTGAACAATGAACTCACAGCCAACAGCTCTATAGCCTATGACTGAATGGAACTTATCTAATGCATCTATTTTGTCCATAAGGCACATCACAGCCTTCTCCTGCTTAGGAACACTAGAAGCACTTCAGCAATATGCTTGGAAGTAATTTTAAACAGCAAAACCACCCCCTAAAAAGCATAAAAATGTAAAAAAATGTGGTACTAAATAGACCTTAAGAAGGGTACTTGTTCATTGAAACAAGAAGGCATTTCTCAAATAGTTTTATTTCATAAGAAGTATATGGGAAAACTCCATATAGTTTGGTAAAATGCTACATAAACTTCCAATTCTTCGTGACCCCATTTGGGGTTTTCTTGGCAGAGATACTGGAGTGCTTTGTCATTACCTTCGCCAGCTCATTTTACAGATGAGGAAACAACTGAGGCAAAAAGTTTTAAGTGACTTACCCAGGGTCATACAGCTAGAAAGTGTTTGAGGTCAAATTTGAACTCAAGATGTGTTCCTGTCTCCACGCCTGACACCCTATCCACTGCGCCACCTAGCTGCCCAACTATCTTACTAATGATATTTAATTACTGAATGAATCCATTGTCTTGAGGGTTAATTATGTGACTCTTTTTTCCTTGGGGAAAATACAAAAGTTGTCTTTCCTTTTCTCTCCAAGATATAAGTACTATTCAACTAGCCCTTCATTAAAGGGGAGATAGAAATTTGTTTGTTTTATAATTAAATTTTAGGAACCTTCATGAGAACCCAGAGGTTCTAGATACACCTCTGTCAGGAGTGTCATACGTCTAAGGATGAACTTATGTTGGGAATTGTTTAATTGGGTAAAAACTCCACATTCTAAAACACTACATGTAAACTAAATTACATTTTAGGTTACTTTTCTTCCTCTAGGAATGATTTCAGTAGAAGATACTCCTTTGGATACAAAACAACATGCTCTTGAAATAATTTCCACAGAAAAAACTCCTTTAGATACAGAACAACATCCTCTAGGAATGGTTTCCACAGAAGATACTCCTTTGGATACAGAACAACAACTCGAAACAAATCCAGAGGTGCCACCGATTCTTGCAGCTATGAGGAGTGCAAGTCTTGTAGCAAAAGAAAGCATGAAACAATATACTGAGATGGTAAGTATGACAGATTAACTTTCCAAGTGGTTTATGGATTATTATAATTATTTAAGTGTATTTTGAGTGTTTAGGGATTTCAACAAGTGGCTAGCTTAATAGCTCTGGAAAGATCTTGATAATCTAAAGGAATTTTAAAAGGTAGAACTTGAAACACTTTACAGGTTTTATTATACTTTTGTTGTTTTTTATTTCAGAATTGAGTTTTCAGGGGAAATGTTGAGGCATTTTATGGAAGGTGAATACCTGAGGTTTTTTTAGGGCTCTGCTCCCTGTACTGGTACTTGTTGATGTTAGTAATTTTGCTTTAATGTATACTGTAGGTCTGGGCAAATTTCTGGAAGTGGGGTGTTGAGTTACTAATCCCTATGCTTGGTACGGGAAAGGTCTGCAAGAGGCAGAACTCAGGCTCCTTTATCAAAAACATCCTCCCTTCTCTGTATTTTCTATCTTCCTTTCATTCAGTTGACTAATCTTTCTTTTAAAAATACAAATATCCTTGGTATAATTGTGCCCATGTTATGCTATTAACATTTCATTATGAACTGCCCTAATCTGATCATTTCTTTTCTCGCTGCTGACAGCTTCCAAATGTGGAGGTAATAACATGTTGATAATTGGCAAGAAGTTTTGGAGTATTTTCTCAATGGGTAGGCCAGTAGAATATAAACAAACTCCTAGAGGGCAGAGATTTTCAGTTTTGTTTTGTTTTCTCTGAATCATGATCACCTAGGAGAGGGAACATATTTGTTGTTTACTAATTGATTGTTGAACTGAATTGATTGGATGGAAGAATGAGGGCGTTTGGATTGGCCAGAAGTCAGCACAAGGAAATGAGGAACTTGGAGAGTCAAAGTGGAAGGAGGCTGCGATTCTCTTTCTTCACTCTCTCTTCAGCAGTCTGGGGTAACAGCTATTCAGGATGCCACTGAACTTGACACAATGGAATGAGCATTGTCTCAGGATTCAGAGGATAATGAGTTTAAATATTGTATCTAATACTTTATTGCTTCTGTAAGCTTGAACACATCACTTCATGTCACTTGGCCTCAGTTTCCTTATCTGTAACATGAAGAAGTTGGACTAGATGAACATTACCCCTTGGATTCTATCTAGCACCAAATTTATAATCCTGTGAAAGTGGTTACACTGAAAAGCCTCTCTCCTGCCTTGGAAATGGCCTTTTGAAACTGTTAATAATAGTCACACATTTTCAATGTTTAATTCATAGTATCATTATGGGTTGTTACTTGAAGCCTTTAGTTGAAGAGAGGAGGAAACAGAAGCTGGTAGAGGGGAAATAACTCACCCAGGGCCATTTGAGTCCAAAGCTAACACTTTTTATACTACATTCTTCCGTCCTCCTAAAGATTAAGATCAGAGGGTCATAGATGATATCTGGAGCTAGAAGGGTCTCAAAAGCCATCTAGCCCAACTTCATATTTCATAGATGAAGTCCAGGGTGATTAGGTGCTTGCCCAAGGTCACAAAGGTAATAAAAACCAGAGGCAGATTTTGAATGTGGTTCCAGTTTGATTCTAAAGCCAGTGTTCTTTCCATTGTACAATCCTACCTCCTTCATCATTACATTTTTAGTGACTTTGGGCATGAGAGCCCTGGGGAGCATGGAGTTGGGGTAGGGTTTGGGAGAGGGTCTGGATCTGTGTCTTTATTGGTGTTAGGAATTTCTAATAATGAAATCTCCTCTACAAATTATAATTTTAGAGTAGAGGTTCTTAACTTGGGGTCCAAGGACCCTGAAGGGATCCATGGAGAGATTTTAGGAGGTCCATGAAATTGAATAGGAAAAATACCCCTTTATTTTCACTAATCTTTGGTTTCCTTTGTAATTCCCATCTATTTTATTTTATGTATTTAAAAACATTATTTTGAGAAGGGCCCCATAGGGTTCCATGACTTAAAAAAGGTTAAAAACCCCTGTTTTAGAGAGCTTGCTGTGGGGCGCTGAGATTTAAGTTACATGTCTAGGGTCATATAGTCAGAACGTGAATGAAATGGACCATCACCTTAGGTCTTCTTGACTCAGAGCCTAGCTTTCTATCCATTATGTCAAGCTGCTCGTAATTTTTCAGTAACAATGATGATTATACTCATTAATATTTAATTTTATTAATACCAAATAAATAAATCTTATAATTAATTAAAATAGATTTTTATAATAAAGATTTAAATTTTATAAAAGGCATATAATCTAATAAATTCTTATAAAATTTAATGATTGAATCAAATATTTAATTTAATAAAATTGATTAGTTAATATTTATTAAAATATTAATATTAAAAGTAATAATAATTATAGCAGCTAAGATTTAGTTAACATTTTAAGGTTTGTGAAGCACTTCACATCAACTGTTTACTCGACATTTTGAACTAGATATTCCATAGGCATGTCAAAATCAATATGTCCAAAACAGAACTCCTTATCTTTCCCCTCAAATACTCTTCTATTCCAAACTTCCCTATTTCTGTGGAGGAATACCATCATCTTTCCAGTCACATAATCTCAGCTTCATGATTCAACTCCTCACTCACTGTTACTCCCACTGCATATCTAAGCAGCTACAAAATCTTGTTTCTTCCTCTACAACATCTGTTGCATTGTGTATTCATATACCCCAAGTTCATATCCTGATCACATCTTCATATAGCTGCCAAAGTGATTTCCTTAAGCTTAGATCTGGCTTTTTTATTCCCTTACTCAATAAACTCCAGTGGTTCTCTTTCATCTCTAGGATCAAATATAATCTCCTCTGATTGGCATCTAAAGCCCTTCACAATTTGACTCCAGCCTACCTTTCCAGCCTTATTACACATTGCTTCCTTTTATGTGCTCTGCAGTCTAGATAAACCCATCTTCTTCCCATTCCTCATCTCCTATCTCCGTGCCTTTTCACTGGCTGTCCCCATGCATGGAAGGTACTTCGTCCCTCACCTGAGCATCTCATTTTCTGATCCCTTTACCTGTTAGTCCAGTGCTATTTCTACAATACCAGCATGCCACAGAAAACTAAAAGCTGTCATTTGTTAATGCTAAGATATCTAAATTTAACATACAGATTAGTGAAATTAGACACTTCAACCCTTAAAAAAAAAGTACTTAACAGACCCCAGTTACTGAAGAATCACTCAATTAGTATTTATAGCTCTACATACATATTGTGATACTGGTCATGAGGGATAAAAAAATTATATAACAATTTGTATCCCTAGAGCCTAGCACAGTTCCTGGCACATAGTAGGCACTTGATAAATGCTTGATTGACTGATATACTGTCTAATAGGGGAAGACAACAATCTGGATGTTGAAAAAAGGGCCTATCATCTAGTACATTAGTATTCCTTCCTAGCTTCGTGTCATTTATAAGTCTGATAAGGATTCTATCATACTTTTATTGAAGTCATTAATAAAAATGTTAAACAGTTTAAGTACAGGAAAAATCCCTGATGGACTCCAATGGAGACCTTCCAAGTTGATATCAAACTAAGTTTTAATGACTACTTTTTGAGTCTGATCATAGAACTAGTCCCAAATCTATCTCATAATATTGTTGTCTCCTTTACATTTCTCCTTCCTACCCACAAGACTGTTATGGGATACTTTATTCCAAGTTTTGCTAAAATTTAAGTAAACTGTATCATCTATGTGGCATTTCTCTGAGCTACAGATTTTATGGTAATCTGTTAAAAAAAGCATGAGAGAGAAATAAGGTTAGCCAGGCATGACCTACTTTTGATCCTTTTCTTAGATCCTCACTAACCATTTATTAAAGAATGATCAATGGTAGAAATTTCCTGGAAATCCAAGTCAAATTCACTTACCTATACTTTGTAGAGCCCATTTTTTTTTTATTAAAAAACAACAACAACAACAAACTAGACACCAATTGACTTCCAATCCCCTCCTCCATTTTCTACAACCTCTCTGATATCATTGACAGAAGCTCTGTTATAACATCCACCAGTCCTTTCAGTACTCAAGGATGCAGTTCATCTGGGTCTGGCAACTTGAATCTGTCAAGGACAGCTGGTTGCTTTCTTACTGTATTCTCTATTTACCTTGGGTACCAACTCTCCATTAGTAATGTTTGTCCTGTCATTTTCAGTGGGAAGGCCATTTCCCTTGGCAGAGAAAACAAAACTAAAATATGAATTGAGTAACTGTCTTTTCTCTGTTTTCAGTTGTTACCAGTCCCCCCAAAGCACCCCAAGGTCTCTGCCTATTTCTTCTTGGGTCATCCCCCTTTCCCCCTATAATATGGCCAAAGATTCTGTTGTGGGCCTTGCCTTTTCTTTCCAGCCAAGTAATATTCCAAGCTTTAGCACTCTTGACACTATTATTACAGTACCATAATAGGATCTTATATTGTTTCCGTTAGCTGCCCTCATTCCAGTATCTCTATCTTTTAAAGATCTGTGCTTGTTGCTGAGTTCCATGTACGTTCATATCAAACTGTAGACAGCTCCTGTTTCCCCTGTCCCCCCACTCTCACTAACTTCCGAATTGTATTCCTTGACATTTTCAGAATTTCCTATTCATCGACATTTTCAGAATTTCCTATTCATCTCAGGCTGACTTCCCCCACAGAATTTTAGTCTTTGCGATTTTCCTCTTGGATTTCAGCATTGGTTTTTTCCTTAGATTTTGTCTCCAGTGATTTCTGGGAGTCTCATGCTATTAGTTCCTTATTGTTATTAAGTATTCTATTGTGTCTACTCTGGTGGCCTCTACTTAGGTAGTATTTTTTCTTTGCCATTAAACAACAACAACAAAAACCTTTGCAGACCCTAGGCAAATACATAATCTTACTAGCCTTTTTTTTTTCAAGGTCCCCTCTATCTTTTGCCAGGAATTTGTTATGCTGTATTTTACATATAGGCGAGAAAACCAAATCCCAGTCTTACATACCATCTTCTTGAAGCTAGATGTTCATTTCCCAAGTTAATGGAAGTGACTTAAGTAGAAGAGGAGGTGTGTGATTAAAGTCAAAGCTTATAGATTCATGTTTTTTGCCTCTTTTACTATTTCTAGTGTTGGTATTTTGATTTTCTTTCTCTTCTTAGATTAAATGTTAATTGTTGATCGGTTTTATTGTTTTTCTTTTTTAAGGGCCATTCTGTATTTTAGTAATTTCTCTTTTTTCAGCTTTAACAGTTTCTGGAGGGGTTGAACTTGCATAGGTAAAAAAACTGGGGGGTGGGGGTAGCTAGGTGGCGCAGTGGATAGAGCACCGGCCCTGGATTCAGGAGGACCTGAGTTCAAATTCGGCCTCAGACACATAACACTCACCAGCTGTGTGATCCCGGGCAAGTCACTTAACCCCATTGCTTATCCAAAAAAAATAAAAAAGAAAAAAGAAAGACTGGGGAGAGACATTAGAAACATTTGAGTTGGGGACAGTTAAGTTAGTACAATAGGAAGTCAGGAAAGGAGGATGACAAAGATTTGTTGGGGATGGTTAAAGGAGGCCTCCTACAGGAATTAGAACATTATTCTAAAGGAGTAGTTTTTGGTTTCTTTCAGTGGGAACTCTTTAACCCTCTGTCATCCAGCGAAAATGCTGGAGCAGCCTTGTCTCCTGAGGTAACATTATGGCCTGAAGGATTCTTGCTTGTTGTGGCAGTTTGGGGTGGTTTTCCTCTTTGCTCTCTCTCTCTCTCTCCCTAGGCAACAGATTTAGAGTTGAAAGGTACTTAGAAATCCTTCTAGTCCAACTCTCCTTTCATATGTTAGGAAACTGATGTCCAGAGAGATTAATGCCAAGTCAGTCCAACATTTATTAAGCACCTACTGTGATCAAGACAAGAGGCAGGGTGGCATAATGAAGAGAGCTATCCTCAGACCTAGATTCTAGTCTGGCTTCTGATACACACTAGCTGTGTGATCACCTCTCAGTGGTCCAGGTAATCCTCTGAGACCTTAAAGCAGGGGTTCTTAACACTTTTTGTGTCATAGATCCCCTTAGGGATTCCTCAGAATGTTTTTAAACGCACAAAATATGTTTATTATAAGGAATACTAATTAAAGTACAGTTGTCAAAATCCCTAGGTTAAAAACCCCTGCTCTCAACACTGTGCTTTGCACATAATAAACAATAAATAAATGCTTAATTCATAGGAGGCTGTGCAGGTGCATTTGTAGGAGTTTCCAGTCAGTCAGTCACTAAACATAAACTAAGTGCCTGCTGTATGCGCTAAACACAGAGGATTCAGAGAACGCCAAAAGGCAAGTCGTATCCTCATGGAGCTCACCAGCTAACCAGACAGAATGAAAACATTTGTGTGTAAACAAGGTATATAGCAGATAAATTGGCGATGGTAGAGGGAAGGCATTAAGGGGGACTAGGAAAGCCTTGCTAAAGAAGGGATTTTAGCTGGCACTTGAAGGAGGCCAAAGAATGGGAGATAAGCAGAAGTATTCCAAGCCAGTAAAAATTCTCAGAGGCCAGAGTCTTGAACTCACCAGTATGTGGGGGTGGGGTGGGGGGCGGTTACGGTGTCTTAAGACTGGACAGGTAGGAGGGGCCGGGTTTTGAAGGTTTTGTGTGGACTAGTATAAAACAAACACGTGCAAAGCAACTGTGTTTGGCGCTAACAAAAAGACTCAAACAGGCCCCGTCCTCAAGGAGCTTCTAGAGGGGTGGGGTACCCGCATCTAGATAGGTAGCAGTATTTTGGAAGGGAAGCATTAATAACTGGGAGAATAAATGAATAAAGCACTTATTAAGCGCTTGCTGTGTGCAAAGCCCTGGGGATACAAAGAAAAGAGACAGTCCCTACCCTCATGGAGCTCACATTCTAATGGGGGAGACTGTAGTTATGGAAGGTTTCAGCTGCAAGTCCGAGGGAGAGCCCCCGGCCTTTAGGGTAAAACGGCAAAGCTGAAGGTAATTTGTCATCTTTAATGTCTTTTCCGCTGACCCGAATCCTGCCACTTTATGATTTTAGTGAGGAGGAAGCGCCAACAAGTGCCTAAGGCGTTGGAGCGCGTCCATACTCTTCTGTTCCGCCCCCTGGGTTCCAGCTCTCTGATTGGCTCTTCAGTCGCCCCCCCCAGACTCGTTCTAGGGTTTTCCCCACCTCTTTTTGCTTCTGGAAGTTTGAAGTTCTAAGCCTCCCGATCTCATAATGGTCCCGTCCCGTATCGGTTAGAATGGCAGTTTTTTTCTTCCGCTCCCCCTCCTAGTCTTCCAGTTGGTTTCTTCTGCCCGGACCTGGCCGGCCCCTCCCCCCTCGAACCGGTTTCCTCCGAGTGTCGCGCTCTTTGCCTGGGACGCTGTGACTGCGGCGCCAAGTGCTGACGCCATAGTGGGAAGGGGCGGGGCCAAGACCGGCTTGGGGTCAGGTCCGGTCCGGTTGACGTGTTGTTGCTTGGGGGAGGGAAGCGAAAGGTGGCAAAGTTCACTCTCCGGTCACCCGACTTGGGCGTCGGGGAGGAGGAAGCCGCGACGGGGGACCCCAGACCCCGGAAGGTCGTTGCCGCTTAGGGCTGAGGGGGCTTACCGTGCTCCAGCCTCACCGCCGGGGCGATGGAGACGGCGACCGCCCCGACTGGGCCGTCGGCCGCCACTACGGGGACCCCCGAGTTGCTGGGCCCCGTGTCCATGTTGTACGCCGCCCTCCTGGCCAAGTTTCTGGAGGTGACCACTGGAACCTCTTGGGTGGGGGACGGGGGAGGGAACGGAGAGGCTTTGCTGTGGGAGTGGGGTGCCAGGAAGAGCGGACGGACGGGCAGGGGCAGGTGCCCCGGAGGTCCGGAAGGAGAGGCCTGCTCCCCCGGGGAAAGGTAACCGACTCGTTGGCCCAGAGGCCGGCCCTATGTGGAGGTGGCCTTGGCCTCTTCTTTTCCGAAGAGACTGGTGCTTCCCTGTGCAGCTTGACGAAGGAGCGTGCTGCTGTCACAGGGGTGTGTGTGTCTTCAGGGTGTGTGTGTGGTGTGTGTTTGGGGGGGGTTATGTGTATGTGTGTGTCTTGAGGAGAAGCGTGTTGTCACAAGAGTGTGAGTCTTGTGGGTGTCTATGTTGTGTGTGTTTTGAGGAAAGCATGCTGCTGTCGTGTGTGTGTGTGTGGGGGGGCCTTTCACAAGGAATGCTGGTGTATTATATCCTATCTTTTGTTTTCAAGAAAAATGGATGGAGTTCAGGAATAGAGTTTTGAAGAAGTGAGAATTTAGTTAAAATTGGGGAAACCTGTCTGCAACCAGTCCTCGGGGGATCTGTAATGCAGAAAAGTTACATGTATCTTTACCAGTTCCAAAAAGGAACTTTAAGTACAGATCAAATGACAGAGAAATCTTGTAGACTTTTTTGTTTTGTCTTTTGAAGGTAGTGTTGTTTTTATTGTGATCTTGATTTTTCTTGCTCCTTTGAGGCTCATCTGCTTCCACAAAAGTTAAATTCGTGCTGAATTAGTAAATAAATAGGTTTTACTTTGTGCCTTATGCTGGCATGAAAGTAGATGTAAATAATATTCCTAAAACTCAAGTTTTACTTTTAAATCACTGATGTCTTTCTACTGTTTTGTTATCTTAAAATAAGAATTTTTTTTATTTTGATTTATCAACAATCACTTCCATAAGCTTTTGAGTTTTAAATTTTTCTCCCCCTCCTTTCCCAAGACAGCTTGCAGTCTGATATAGGTTCTACATATATATTCCTATTAAACATATTTTCACATTAGTTATGTTGTAAGGAAGAATTAGAACCAATTGAAGGAACCACAAGAAAGAGAAAACAAAACAGAAGGAAAAAAAGAACAAATAGTATGCTTCAATCTGCATTCAAACTCCATAGTTCTTTCCTTGGATATGGATGGCATTTTCCATCACGAAGCCTTTGGAGATGTCTTAGATCCTTGCATTGCTGAGAAGAGCTAAGTCTGTCAAAGTTAGTCATCACACAGCTTGGCTGTTACTGTGTACAGTGGTTCTCCTGGTTCTGCTCACTTCACTCAGCATCAGTCCATACAAGTCTTTCCAGGTTTTTCTGAAGTCTGCCTGCTAATTTCTTATAGCATGATAGCATTCCATTACATTCATGTACCACAACCTGTTCAGCCATTCCCCAGTTGATGGGCATTCCCTCAATTTCCAATTCTTGGCCATCATAGACCTTTTTGTACATGTGGGTTCTTTTCCTGTTATTATGATCTCTTTGGCATACAACCCTAGAAGTGCTATTGCTGGATCAAAGGGTATGCACATAAAATAAGATGTTTTAAGATGGCTGTAGAAATTTTCTTTTATCCTGAGGTCAGTGACTTGTAAGAATGAGTTGGGAGAGTTTCTGTTGTCCTTTTTATTTCCTGCATTTGCTTTGTAACATTTAAAAAAATATGAAAGGGATAGGAAGAGATGTTAATGAAGTACAATCTGCTGTTCCCTCAGACTTGATTAACAGCTTTTTCCTCACTTCTCCCCTGATAAAGTAAAACTCTAAATCACAAAATGAGTCTATCAAAAAAAATGCAATGGTCATTGGTATCAAACTCAAATGGAAGCTTATGGGATTTGATACCAGAAATTAACATCTGTGTTGTATTGTATTTGTATTTATTTTGTTCAGCATTTCCCAGTTACATTTTCATCTGGCATGGAGTGCACTCAGGAGTTGGCCCAAGAGCCAAGAGTTTGATGCCTAGACAATTCTGTCCTTAGTTTATTAAGTCTCTAGGAAACCAGGCTTAATACTTTGGGTTGGTTTGTTTGTTTTTTTGCATGCTGTTTGTTCACTGTATTTTACACACTACATGAATCACAGCTTTATAGTAGTGGTTCTCAAATTTTTTGGTTTCATGACCCCTTTATATGCTTAAGAATTATTGACAACCACCATCCCCAAAGAGCTTTTGTTTATGTGGCTTATATTTATCTATCTATCCCTCTATATGTATATACATTGTTAGGAATTTAAAAGTCTTTTTATTATGAAATCATTTAGACCTCATGTACCCCCTGAAAAGGTCTTGGGAGAGCTGTTTTATAGAACTTGAGAGCCAGAAGGGACAATAGAGGTCATCTGGTCTAATCTTACTTTATAAATAAAGAAACTACAGCCCAGAAAGAGGGTACTTGCTTGCAGTGTTGGAGCTTGGACTCAAACCCAGTTATATCCAGTTGTTTTTTCAATGTAATACCACACCATGAAAACATGTTTGTAGCTTCTGGGTGACTTATCTTAGAGTTTAATATAACTCCCTATTTTTTTCCTTCCTTCTTTACCTCTCCCTTTTCAGTTCTCTCCCAAAAGGAAATACCACCATTTTTGAATTGTTTGGAAAACCAAGCCAGAGGTTAAATTTTTTTAAAAGTGAGAGGTTCTTAGTAACTTTGTGTTTTTAGGTAGTCCACTGTATGTGCTTGAGACTGTAAAGCTCTCAAGGGGAGATAAAATTTATACTAAGTACTAACTTTACATAATAGCTAAAAAAGAGGGATAACCAAAAGGTATGCTTTGGTTATTTGGCTATAACTATTGATATAAATTATTCTGCTTTTTCATGTTGCATAAAAGTTTTTATTTTTCTTGGAGTGTTTTTTGAGCACTTGATTTGAAACTGGCATTAATGGTTGTTAAAAGTTAGGTCAATGTATGTTATCTAGGATTTTGGCTTCAGGTGAGAAGGTGACTTATTTTACTCATTTATTTGAATTCTTTGAAGAGTGTATTAACTTTAAGCATGAAAACTTTAAATGGGCAAGTGAAGTTTATGTTTGAAAAGTGAATATCAACATATAAAAGAAACTATAACTCCATGCCCCTTTATGATGTTTGTCCATTCATGTATGTATTTTCACAGTTTTTTATGTAATTAAATTCAACATACATTGATTTTCCAATTCTTATTTCTTCAGGTGTATTGCTTCACATAGGATCTTTCTGCATTTCTTTCTATTCATTATATTTGGCTTTCTTAATTGTGTTGCTGAGAGGCAATGTCTTGTAATGGTTATAGTATTGGCCTGAGTCAGGGAGGCATATGTTCAGGTCCTTCCTCTGATATAGATTGGCTGTTGTATCCTGGGCAAGTTAATTATCTTCTCAGTACCCCAGCAAACTTTTAAAGAGTAGTTTCAGGTAACATGTCACTCTACATTGAGAAGAGACAGTTCCTAACCTGGAAGTAAGATAGAATTGCATTGTGATAATACACAATTCTCATTCATCTGCTGTACCCTGTATTCCAACCAATATTAACTGGAATATTAATTACGCTTTCCATGTTTTTGTGCAGACCCTATGCTGGAATACATTCACTCTTCTTTCATCTTAGTCTGTAGAAATCCTTTTCTTTCAAAGTCCTTCTCTGTTTGATGCCAACTTCTTTATCCCTGAACTCTTCTCTCACCTGGAAGTGATTTACCCTGCTTCACTCTTCCCATAGCATCTTGTTTGTGTCTTTGCAGTTATCTCATTCTGCTGTCTGGATATTTGTATATGTCTTACTCCCATGTTAGATTGTGAATTCTTGGAGGTCAGGACCTTTTCCATTTTATCTTTATATTATAAGACCTACCACAGTGCCTTACATGTGGTAAACTTGAGTTTGGAAAATAACATTCCCCACAATCCCTCCCACTTTCCTATCTCCCACACAGATGCTTTATAGACTGCCATTGCTATGGGAGCCATTGTTAGAAACTTGATGCATTTAAAGAATCTATGGATTCAGAGGTGTAGAAAGGGAAAAATCTGTGACAAAGTTTGGAAAGTTGAAAACCTCTATTTCATCTATTCACTTTATTTGAGTTCAGCCTAGCTAAAATGAGGTAATGAGATCTGCCCCCATCTTTTTCTTTTCATATTTATTATTAATATAGTATAGAATTTTAGATGTTTAGCATATGTCCACCAGCACTATGGAGATTCTATCCTGATTAATGAAATTATGTATTTGCTTTGTGGTCCTTTCATGTTTTCTACTGGGCTGATGAGTTGTATGTATGATATGGACTTACCTTTTCATTTTTGAAGTCTTGTTTGCTCCCTAGTATTTGATTTATATGAAGAGGTTGAATCATTCAACAGGTATTTATTGAGTATTTTCTGTCCCCCACTATCTGAAGAGGGATATTAGAAGAAATCATGGTGATTTAAAGAACAAAAGATATCAATAAAAAAATTTTTTTTTAAAAAAGATGGCATTTATATTCTCTTTGCTTTGAAGGGCATACAAAAAATTTGACAGGTAGGATTCATGCTTTCAAGAAACTTTTAGTCTAGTTAAGATGCAAAGATAACAATAAAAGGCACCAACAATTTAATATAAGTAGTCTAGACATCGAGTGCTCTAGAAATGCAGAGGAAGGAATGATCTCTAACAACCTTAGTGGTTATAATAATAACAATTATGATGATAATAGTAACAGCACACAAGAAACAGCAGTTGGACATTTCCCAGGTTTGGGGATGGTAGCTTAAAGAGGCAATGAAATAGTGTGATCAAAGGGAAATTGAAATTTGAATGGCCATGGGAAATTTGAATGGGAGTTTGAAAAGAAATGGAAATTTGAAAAGTATTTTTAAGAGACAGCAAATCATTTTTGGTGATATAAGCCTCATTTTGTAGAACAGAGAGGGGAAAATGAGGTTATAAATGTAGTTTCTGTTTAGATTGTGAAGACCTTGAATGCCGGTCAGTCAAGGGATTTGAACTTCATTTTGTAGGAGCGGAGGTATTGAAATTTTGAGGGGGGAGTAAAATAATAGAAATATAATTTAGTATTATTGTGATTCATTGTAAATGTGTCATGAGAAATTTCTCTCAAATTTGTTCATCATTTCCAACATTGATATTTCAGTTGATTGCTACATTACCTGAGGATATTCGACCTGGTGCTGATTTTCGTGGAATGCCCTGGGAGCCTATAATTATTACAGTCTTACTGGGAATTGTTTCATTTGCCGTTTTCTTCTGGAGAACTCTCCTTTCAGTGAGTATATTGAATTTATTTTTAGGTGAAATTTGCATAAAACATTAGTTTTTTAGTATATTTAGTACTCTGCTAATAGCAAGGTGTACTTCTTTAACCTCCTCTTTGTCTCTCCATTTTGTTGATGTGTGAACACAAACTACTTGAAACACAAGCTATCCCTTTAAAACGATCTTTAATTTTGTTATAACAGCCTTTAGGGAATGATGTTAGTGGAAAAGATAACTCTGTATGCCAGTGAGAAAATGTCAGAAAATACCATTAACAATGACTGTTTCAAATGAAATACTTCATATCCATCTAAATATGATATAAATGCTGGTGGTAATTAAAATCAGTGGTACTTTCTGGGTGAAAGTTAAGCATCTTTCTATTAGAACTTGACAGATGATCTATATTGCTAGTGATAAGTTCCCATATTTTAGGTTCTTGTCCTTTTGCATAACTCTTATATAGTTTTTAGACATATAAAGTGATCAGCTCAACTATAGAAAACACTGAAAATTTAACTTGAAATAAAAATTTTGTGAAATTCTAGGTAATGAGACTATATCACTTCAACCAACAAACATTTATTAAGTACTTGCTGTGTTTCAGGCACTGTGCTAAGCACTGGGGATACAGAGACAAGTGGAATCAAACAGTCCTACCTCTTTTTCTTTTTTAAGCTTTTTTTTTTTTTTGAGGCAGTTGGGGTTAAGTGACTTGCCCAGGGTCACACAGCTAGTAAGTGTCAAGTGTTTGGTCTGAGGCCGGATTTCAACTCAGGTCTTCCTGACTTCAGTGCCAGTGCTCTATCCACTGCGCCACCTAGCTGCCCCCAGTCTTACCTCTTAAGAAACCTGTCTACAAGGGGAGACACACAGATATTTAATTATATATAGAATAAATACAAAGGTGTTTTTTTAGGGGGGGTAGGGGGAACAGTACTGGCAGGCTTCATGTTGAAAGGTGGTGTTTGAATTGAATCTGGAATAAATGAATACTAAAGTGGAAGTAAAGAGGACATCCCAGTCAGCTAGGCATGAAGATGGAGTGCTGTATGTGAGGAGCAGCAGGGAGGTCAGCTCTGCTGGATCATAGTTAAAATGTAGTTTGGATGACACCAGAGACTGACTTATCTGCTATTCCTCATTGACTCTTGCTTGCTGAACTTTTTCAGGCAATTCAGAAAAGCTTTCTGTTCATATAGGTATGTCCGTTTTGAAATTGATATTTTTACATCCATACAGCATATTATAACTAATACCTCTGAATTTGCCTGTAGTATTTGTAATTGAGATCCTCTTTCCCATGTACAATGGAGAAGCACTGTAGAAATTCATATAGTCCTAATTCCCATGGACCTGGGATTTCGTT